CTGCTGTGTACAGCCATGTGTCTGTGTTTATAAAGTAGTCTGTGATGACTTGGGTCACTGTAATTTCATTCAAATTATAGCTACGTGACAACTAAATCTGTCAATGTATCCATTAATTACAACACGGCTTCAGTTTATAGTCGTTTGTACAATTTCCAAGTCCTGCTACTGATAATTTAATGCGAATGTGCTAAAAGATTTACTTGTAACTCGTAACTTGTAGTTGCATTTTTTTAATTAACATCTTATTGCAGCGTAAATTTCATCAGCTAAGTTGCTAAACTTACTTTTAAAAACAAATTATCTGATCCATGGTGAATTTCCAAACTACGCCGGTTTGTTAAAAAAAATAAAAACTCCATCGTCTTCATTTCTCTGTTTATTTTGCTGCCCGCACATTGAATCCTGAGATTTCCTCGGCCGGTGAGGATACACTGATGCATCCTTGGATTTTGAGAGTTTGTCGGCCGCATTCCTCAGCCACATGATGCAAGTAGGGGTCTCTGCGGACGAGTGGGCGTGTCACAAGGAAAGGCGATTCTAAAGTGACACAACTGATTTGACGGACTTTGTTAAAGGGACACACCTGACTGGACAAACAAAAAAGGGGCGATACCGTARYGCACCACCTSATTGGACAAGAACAAAAGMMGCYTTACTGTACYGCACCATTTTTTCTGGAGABCCCWACTTGGGTCACATTTCTCCTGGTTAACCTTAGTGTTGGGGTCAGGGTCAGGCTGTAAAGAGTTTAAGCAGGATCTAAGGAGACCGTCATGTAGGCCTCGTAGCCCACAGTGTTTATGCTTTAGACACACCCACCCTTGTGACACGCCCACTTTGATTCCGCACATAACCACTTCTCGCATGATGAGGAGCCTTCGAATTAGGACAGTCCTCCGTGTGGGGGGGAGTGAGGTATGAGGCCGACAAATGCGCACTCATGAGGACCCACCCCCCTGGACACAGCCAATGATTGAGTGACAGTCATCTCAGTGGTTAGCTACTGTATATGTTGTAACTATCAAACTTTTCTAAGCATTTACCACTGCAGAAAATAATTGTTCAACAACAATTTTCATTACTCATCCTAACAGATAGCCCAGCTGCTAGAGCTCTCCGAGGGCCACACTTTTTACGTCATTACTGACTTAGGAGTGTACAGAAGATGTCAACCAACAATACAGAGATAGCAGTGTTACTGTTGAATGGGTACCAGGACATATTGGCATTAATGGTAATGAGAGACCTGACTACCTTTCAAAAGTCAGGACCAGAGCCTGTTGTAGGTACCTCAACAACAGTCTGTAGGACTGCCCTACAGGCCTGGATTAGACATCAGCACTCAATCCACTGTAGTGAACTGATGGACTGTAGACAGACACGGGAACTGATAAATGCCCCAAATCTAAGGTTGGAGAAAGCTCTCATCTCCCTGACAAGGAAAACTCTAAGTACACTGGTTGGAGTCCTAACTGGGCATAACCTACTCAACCACCACAAAATGATGATGGGACTCCATGACAATGGTCTGTGCGATGCCTGTGGCATTGAATTAGAGACCTCTTTGCACTACTTAGGACACTTCCTGGCTCTGAGCAGCCAAAGGAAAAATAACTCCTGTGGATCCTGAGTAGCTTGGAACACTGAGTGTTTCTAACCTTGTGTCCTTCTTCCGAGAGACCTAAGGTTTGACGAAAGCTCAGTGTCTTTTTGGGGAGAATAATGGGCCCTCTTACCAGGTCCTCGCTCATATGGGTTCTTTATCCATCCCCACTCCCCATAACCATAGATGTTCTATATAAATGCTATATATTGTCATCATTTTCTGTTCATACAATGACAAAATGTGTCTTCTGCATTTAAACCATCTCACATGAGATATACCCAAGTGGGTGAGTATGGGGGCAGTGATATAAGCACCTGGGAAACATCTAGGAAAATGTCTTGCTCTGTGGCAATTCAGCCAATCTAAACCAGTTGCTTATGCAGGTAGACACACAGAGATAAAATAAAGACAGTTGAAATAAAACGGTTTTTCAGTCAACAAACACTTTGACTATAAAATCATTAAACAAATCAAAAAGCTTTTTGAAAAGGCATAACCATATATGATAGCTATGCTAAAACTTTATTTACCAGAAGCAAATTGGTAGCAGTTAGTGAAAAAGTTAACCTGCTAAATGAAAACATTTGGTTGGTTAGTGGAACCACGACTGTATTTTGTAAATGCCATGTTTTTCTAAAACAGGTTGTAACTGTGTCAAAACAACTTTTTTCAGAAATTTGCCTCTTTGACGGTACACTGAAAAAAAAGGATTTTTGGGTGTAGTAACATTTGTTTAATTATTCTTTTAAATTTTACAAAAATATCAAAATTTCTAAACTACTAGAATTTACTAAATAAACAACACACAATATATTATAC